TGTGAAGACTGAAGTCATTTTTCTTCTATTTCTGCTACAAGCTTGGATTATATCCCTCTTCCTGACCATGCCTCACATCCAGGCAGAATTGTTAGTAAGCTAGTATCCTATTTAAACCTGTCCCTCCTATTGTCGCCACCTCTGTAACAATGCCCATCCTCATTCCTGTCTGGTACTAAAACACTCTTCAAAGCATCTGTCCCAATGTTTTCTTGACCCCACTTCCCATCCTCAGTGTAAGCATCTTAAAAATTCACTCGTGGGATGTGGGCATCAGCATTCATTGCCCCTCCCTAGTTGCCCTTGAGAAGATGACAGTGAGCTGCCTTCTTGAACCGCTGCTGTCCATGTGCTGTAGGTAGACCCACAATGCCTTTAGTAAGTGAAAAACCCTACTGACCGTATCCTACCAGTTCCAAGACTAACTTACCTAATAAACTTGCCACCACCAACCCCTCTGCATTCCCAATCCCGCAACATCTCCCATTCAAAATTCCCATCCATGTTTTTTAATCCCTTCATGATCTGACCCCACTCTATCTGTGAACCCATCCATTCCAAATCTCCTGCCTCTTGTGCATGACCCTCCCCATTCCTTTTCTCACACCCTTGGTGGCCATAGTTCAGCCGCTAATCACTGTGATCTAAGCCGAAAGCCCATCTGGAATGGGACCTCAGGCCTCATTTTCATCACACCTCAGTGAATTTGCTTTGGCTCTCGGGGTACACCTTGGAAGAGAAGGGTAAACAATCACTACTGTGAGGAGGTGGCAGGTAGGCAGCAAGCCTGTCCATATTCAGATAGTACCTCCTTGGTTGTGGATTGCAGCAGTCTCTTTAAGGACTTCTATCTGTGTTATGTCCATGGACGTAGTTTTCCTCAATGCTGCAGCCCTGGTGCTAGCTGCATTCAAGGCAAACCAGTCTTGCTCATCAGGGCCCACAAACTAACTAACTGTTCAGAGATATTATTACACACCTCTGGAGCAGGTGGGATTTGAAACCCAGGCCCCCCTGGCTCAGAGGTAGGCACACTACCACTTCACCACAAGAACTCCTAGTTCTTCACTGTAGATATTTTCTAATCATCTTGTTCGGAAATGTTATTACGCATCTCTGGGGCAAGTGGGACTTGAAGCTGGGACTTCTGGATCACAGGTAGGCACCCCAAGAGCCTTTAGATTTTCAATTTAGAGAACTGGGCCTAAACATCTTCCATTGTTATATCAATTACCTGCCCTCTACCAGAAGGTCAGAGATGATACTATTTGCTAAGATCATTGTGACTTCTCAGGTATTGAAACATTCCATGTCTATATGTAGCAACATCTGTCCACCATTCTGGCTTTGGCTGATCGACAGTAAATAATATTTGTACCACACAAGTGCTAGGTCATGACCAGTTCCAACAAGAGAGATTGTAACCATCTCTCCATGATATTCAGTGGAGTCCTGAGGTTACCATTGACCAGATACTGAACTGGACCAGCCATTTAAAACAAAAACTACGGCTACAAGAGCAAGTGAAGAACTAGGAATTCTGAAGTGACCACCTGATTCCCCAAAGTCTGACCACTATCTACAAGGCCCAAGTCAGAATTACAATTGAATACGCTCCACTTTCCTGGATGATGCAGTTCCTGACAACAAACAGGAACTCAACACCATCCAGGATAAAGCAGCCTGCTTGATTGTCACCCTGTTCACCGCCTTAAACTCTCAACCCCTCCACTGCTGACTGATACTGAGCAGGAGCAGTGTGTGCCATCTACAAGATGCACTGCACCAAATCATGGTAGTTCCTCTGACAGAATCTTTCAAACTGTCTGAAAGGACAAGGTAGCAGAAATGTAGGAACACCACTGCACTAAGCATCAGTGACTGACTTTGAAATATATCACTGTTCCTTCATTGTTACGGGATCACAGTCCTGGAATTCCCTTCATAACTGTGGCTGTAATCATCACCCTCCCACCTCCTTGTAGACTGCAAGAGTTCAAGAAGGCAGCTGTCCACCACCCTCTGAAGGCAGAGATGGAGACAAATAATGGTTTTGCCAGCGACTGCCACATCCTATTGAAAGAATTGAGAAAGGCATTTCTGGCTTGGAGCTGATGCACCCTGCTCTATGTCTGAAATGGGCATTGAATCTCTAGAATGCTATCTCTTCAAGGTTTAATTGATATTTTTGGGCTGTGGTGTAGGATCTCAGTATCGGACCAGATTTTATCGTGCCAGTTCATGGAAGATGAGCAATTGACTCTGTAATAAACATACAATAAATAAATGTATTTGTAGTGGAGGTTATGTTAATCAGCTCATTAGAGTGGAAAGTAAATGGTCACAATGTAAGATGTTCAGCTGTTATTTTGGCATTTGCTTTTATATATGCGGTAGACTCAAGTGACCTGGATTAAATATGTTCCATTGTCCGTCATTAATGTCCTTTACTTGTGTTTAGAATAGCGCAGCAGATGTTTGAAAGGCAAAATCTTTCTCTGGAAGAACAAAGTGGGTAAAAGTGAAAAGGGTGAAGTGATGAATATTAGAGAGATTTCCTCAGATGCGGCAACTTTGCAGCCCAACCAATTTATAGCTCTTTCCTTGTCCCACAAAGGCACTGAACTTTTGGTGTATTTGATAGTCAGAAATACTTGTGGTACACTGACAGGCCATTTAGCTCAACACTGCACATGAGTCTCTTCCTTCCATTGTTCATCAAAAATCATTGTTATGTCACTCATTTTATCCCTTGTGCTGATTTTGCCTCTGTTCTGCTGGGTGGATCTATGAGGGTGTACAAACTCTCTTCCATTTTGTCCTGCTCACCATTTTTCATGTGAGAGGCTCTCCCACTGAATTTTACAACTTCTTCACCACATGTAGCCAAGTCCCAGTGCTTTCTTCACCATACAACTGGATGGCATATTCTCCTCTCTCAAACCCAGGTCAATTTCTGCACTCCCTCCTTATTTTCCATCAAATGCAAATTGAGCAAACGCTAGAATAGAAAACAGGACTTGCCTGGTCTCTTTGGCTTATGGACTGAATAAACTCAAGGAAAGATCTGGTGTATCATATATACAGAGTCTGATGTCCTGAAGTTCTTTGTAGCCACTGCAGAGCATCCGTAGAGAGGAAAACAGAGTTAATGTTTTGGGTCCAGTGACCCTTCTTTTGAGATGGTGCAGAGAGAGAAAGAAACAAAAGTAAAGGCAAACAAAAGGATTGCTGATGATGAGCCGAGAGGAAGATAAATGCTGTGTGTGTGCTAATGAGAAATGTCAATTGTTGAGAATGGAACAAAAACATAAATTGTTGGAAAAATTCAACAGGTCTGGCAGCATCTGTGGGGAGAAAGCAAAGTTAACATTTCAGGTCCAGTGATCTTTAGAACAAGCCTTTCAGAGACCCTTTTGAAGAAGGGTTACCGAACCCAAAACATTAACTCTGTTTTCTTCACACAGATGCTGCCAGACCTGCTGAGTTTTGCCAATGGGTTCATTTTGTTAAATTTTGGATTTGCAGCATTTGCAGTTCTTTGTTTTATTATAGTTGAAAAATGGGTTGGCTGAGCTGGGAGCAGCCCGCGCAAAACAGTACCTCAGGAAGGAGGGGTGAGGAACAAAGATAGAGGAGGACGTTCAACCTCTGAAATTGTTAAACTCAGCATCAAGCATTCTCTCTTCTTAGAAAATGACCTCCAGACTCTGGGGTGAGACTTGAATTAAGATCTCATATCACTGCTAGGTCACAATGAAAACTCATTGAGGTAGAAATGATTTTTTTAGAGCATGCTTTTTGTAACCTGTGCAAAAAGTAAGAACAGTCAAAAGTAGATGCAAGTACAGTTACAATATTTAAAAGGCAGGTACACAAATAGGAAAGGTTTAGAGGGATATGGGCTAAATGCAGCCAAGAGGGATTAGTTTAGTTTGGGAAACTTGTTTGGCATGCACAAGTTGGAGCAAAGGGTCTGTTTTTGTGCTGCATGACTCTATAAGCCATTCTGATTGACACTTGGGCCGTAAATAGTGTTAGTAGAATCTATTGACCTATTCTTTCCTTAATAATATGATTGGTTAAAAGAATTTCTGAAACTTTCTCAATGTAGTCCCTTTTTGAGCTACACAGTAATGCTAAATACAAAACAGCAGGGATGGTCCAAGGACTGTGGATAAACTCAGCAGGAGATGTTGGGACCTCTCTGTAAGATAAAAGGTGATAATCATAGAATCTTTACAGTGCAGAGAGAAGATATTCAGTCCATAATGTCTGCACCGACACTCTGAAGAGCATCCCACCCAGACCCAGGCCCTATTCCCACACGTACCATGACTGATCCACTTAGGCTGCACGTCCCTGAACACTTCAGGGCAATTTCCCATGGCCAATCTACCCAACGTGCACATCTTTGGACTTTGTGCGGAAACTGGAGCACTCGGCAGAAACCCACACAGACACGGAGAGAGTGTACAAACTCCACACAATCAGTCGCCCGAGGCTGGAATCAAACCTGGGTCCCGGTGCTGTGTGGCAGCATTGCTTAACCACTGAGCCCACGGTGCAGCCTGGAATTAGGAAAAGGTTTGTTTGAGCGGGTGTCAGAAACAAAAAAAGTTTCCACTTGTGGGCAAATACAAAATTAGGGGTCGTTGCTGAGCCAGTAAAGAAGTCTGGAGAAATTCTTGATGCAGAGCTTGGTTGGAATATGGAACTCCACAACCACAAGGCGTTGGTAAGGTGAATAACATTGATACGTTTAATTGGAAGCTAGATAAAGGAGGAGGATTTATCAGTGGGATGGGATGGGATGGGATGAAGTAGGGGTTTGGATGGAGGGGGGCGGTGGGGGTTAAGAACAAGGAAGACTGCAGAAGTTGATGAAACATCATGTTTGTTTGTCCGACGCGGCTTAAAATGGTCCTCTTTGTGTTTTATCTCTCTCTCTCTGTGTGTGTGTGTGTGTGTGTGTGTGTGTGTGTTTGGTCTCCCTGCAGGTTGCTTCCAGTCCCCGGGAGAAAACCGACGCGTGGACAAGCCGCCGGCCTTAAACCAGACGCCTGAGGTGGTCGAGACAAGGACCTGGGAGAGCAGGTACCCGAGAGTGGTGGTGACAGCTGCGGACTCCAGCCCGGCGGACACACCGCCCAGCTCCCAGCGGCGACGGGAGGTGAGCGGAGCTGACTCTGAGCCAGAATGCTGGCAGGGCAAGTCCGGCTGCGTGAAGTTCATGGTGTCAGACGCCGAAGGTGCCCTCACGGTGTCTGACATGGACGACAGCGCTTCGGTAGACTCGAGGGGGGACTTGTCTGAGGAGCCGGCCGGCCGGGGCGGGTCGGCGAAGCTGGTGGTGAGCAGCGCCCAGGTGATGACAGCGCCGGTGTTCGCGGTGGTCCGGGGCCGGCACACCGCCCTGCTGCAGTGGGAACGGGAGGAGGACGGAGCGCCGACTCCGCCGGCGGACACCCAGCCCGCGAGAGATGCCGTGGCCCGGAGAGAACTTGCCGCCGGGGACAAGGAGACGCTGCAGAGCCCTTCCTCCGACCTCAAAGACCCTGCGCCGGTGGAGGCGAGCCCCCGGGAGACCCCTCGGCACGTCTTGGACGAGGGAGCCACCGGGGCACGGGCAGGAACGGAAAAAGACCAGGCGCCGGCCAAAGGCGAGGATTTCCTGACGACCGAGTGGCCCGTGCCGCATGCACCGCTCCCCAGTGAAGATGAGGAGGACGGCGCGGCTTCTGCTATGACCAGCGAGAGAAAGACCTCGTTGAACGCTGCTCAGTCCGAGATCAGGAGCGACGAGGACGACGATGTCTTTGTGAGCGCCAGAGAGAGCGAAGCGAGTGTGATGAGCAGAACTTCCCTGGGAACCAAATCAGCAAAGTAATTCTATTGATTATTTACTAAATTATTGGATTGCAATGTGTGGTCACGACAGTCAGACAGACAAGTGAATTAAAGAAACTTAACCCGACTACGGTAGAAACAAAATATTTTAAAACTGGTCTCAGTGTTGCTGATTTTAGGTGTGTTAGTTGGAGCATCCAATTCACCATCAATGTTGAGTACTCCAACCACCCACCAGCACCCCCTCAACGTTTTTGAACATTTGCTGCGAATCAGTAATATATCCATGCTGCATTCAGAGTCGTCATGGTATGGAAGGAAGCTATTTGGCCCATCAAGCTAGTGCCCGCCCTCTGTAGATTGTTCCCTCTTCCCCCTCCTCCCTCCATTCCCTACTTTATTTCCCTGGGATGCCCATCCAGTTTTGTTTCAAAACAAATCTTCATTTCCACCACCCTTGTAGGCAGAGATTTAATGCTTCACTGAAGCCCTTGTACACACTACAAATTCCTGGCGGGACCAATATTGTTTCAAAGATTTGCTGCATTTTCAATTCAACAAGGAAAGAGGCACATTCTTAAAATCCAACGATGGTCCAAAAAAAACACTCAGGTCAGTCACTGGGCCAGAATTTGCCACAGCAGGACACCTGCAGTCCCAGGGTGGCACAGTGGCTCAGTGGTTAGCACTGCTGCCTCACAACGCCAGGGACCTGGGACCCTTGGTCAACTGTTTGTGTGGAGTTTGCACATTCTCCCCATGTCTGTGCGGGTTTCCTCCGGGTGCTCCGATTTCCTCCCACAGTTCAAAGATGTGCAGGTTAGGTGGATTGGCCACTATAAATTGCTCCATAGGTTGCAGGAATGTGCTGGCTAGCTGTGTTAGCGGGGATGGGTCTGGGTGGGATGCTCTTCGAAGGGTCGGTGTGGACATGATGGGCTGAATGGCCTCTTTCCACACTGTAGGGATTCTATGATTTGTCCATGTACCCTTCAACTAAAAAATACTTCTCCCTTATTGGTTTTTGAAAGTGAGAATTGGTACCAGCACAGTGAGGCTAACTAATAGGCTTCCCCTCCAAAAGAAAATGTCAGATTGAAGGGTTGGGAAAGAACCACAAGAAGAACTGAGGAAGAAGGGGAAATAAATGGGAGTGAATTCAATGTCAAATCAGGAAGAGGAAGGAAATAATCAGGGAGGAATGATTGGATAGGGAGAGAAAAAGACGCAGAAAGGGCAAATTAGAAACATCATTTCAATTTTAAATATTCTCAATCTCACTAAAACATTCAAAATATAAAGGAATGAGATGGTACACTTGTTAAAATGGGGTTATAGAAAGTTTAGTTTGTATGTACCTCAAAAATACAGCATCTTTGTGACATGTATTGTCTGATATTGCAGTGTAGATTGTAAGATTTTTTTCCACAAATTTTATCATGAAATGATGTTACATGGACAGCAACATTTGGATATTGGCATTTTACTGTGCATCTGCTCATGGCTTGAATTGGCTGTATCCTTTATTCATAACAAGCAGTGAGGCCCATATTTTGACAGCAAATTCTGGTCCATTTTCTGTTGTTGGGCTTCTATAGCCGAAGTTTGAAACTGGGACATCGTAGAATTGCTGAGCATTAGTAGTGACTAATTATAATTAACTATTCCAAATAAATGGATTGGATGATATTGAGCAACCAAGCAAAAGCTGGTTGGTCATTCAATGTGTACAGAACGTCAAGGAAGAGGCTAAAAAATCAAATCCATTTAAAATAGGGAGCGATTGTGTTCCATGGGAGTCTACTATTGATCATTTAATGTTCCAAAGCCCCCTAACTCACGATCCTTTGACCACATTTTTGGTCACCCCATTCATACATTCCTCTAGTTACTGTTCATTGGGCACCTCCTTTTCATTGATAAATATTCACCAATCTTCTATCTGAGCAGCATAATACATATGTAGGCAGCTGGAGATGTATTATGTGAGGGTTTAAGGTATGTACCAGTTAAAACCTTTATTTATCTAGCGATTGCTAGCTTTTATTTGTGTAGGTAGATTGACTACTGGATCATTGGCTGATGTTTCTGAAGGGTGCTGATTGGGTCTGATCTTCAATTTTGTTAAACGGCAGCCAATGAAAGCCACATATTCCAAAAAAAAACACTCTACCTATTCTGAAAATCTCCAATTCATTGGAAAGTAAACATCAAACAATGTCAGTGTGTTCAGAACTTTGAATAGTCATGTTGCCCTATCTGTGTGGAAAGAAAGGTCCTTTTCAGGGTGAAGAGTAAATAAAAGCTTCAGGACTATGACAGAAGAGCAGGGGATTCGGACTAATTGGTTACTACTTTGAAAGATGAGCTGAACAGCTTGCTGTTTAATATTATTATGTATGGCAAACCTGGACGAGTCACTATCAGTCAACTCCAGTTAGCTGGAGGGCACTATAAATAAATAAGCATATGAATTAGTAGCAGGAATAGGCTACACGACAATTCAGCATGCTCCACAATTCAGTTGAATCATTGCTGAAATGGTTAGTCCACAGTCCCACCTACTCATAACCTTTCATCCCATTGTTTATCAGGAATCTGTCTATTTCTGTCTTGGAGAGAATTAAAGGCTCGGCTTCCCCAGTCTTTTAAGGAATTGAGTTCCAAAGACTCGTGATCCCCTGTGAGAAAATGCTTCTCCAAGTCTCTGTCTTAAATGGATGTCCCCTTGTTCTTAAACAGGGTCTCCTAGTTCCAGAATCTTACACAGGAGAAAACATTCTTTCCACATCCAACCTGACAAGACCCCACAAGATTTAATATGTTTCAATAAAATCAACCCTTGCTCTTCTAAACTGTAGCAGATACAAGCCTAGCCTGTCCAACCCTTCTTTAGAAAACTACACACCCCTTCCAGGTGTTATTCTAGTAAACCTTTTTTAAACTATTTCTAATGCATATACAACAGTCCTTAAACAAGACCAATACTGTACACAGTACTCGAGATAGGATTTCACCAGTGCCTTGTATAATTGAAGTATAACCTCCCAGTTTTGTGCTAATTCCCTTCCTATTGGCTTTCGTAATTATTTGCTATACCTGTGTGCTAATCTTTTGTGATTTGTGCAGCAGGACATTCAGATCCCTCCGTATCTCGGAGCTCTGCAATCTCGTACCATTTATATGTTAGAGATAGTAGGAACTGCGGATGCTGGAGAATCCGAGACAACAAGGTGCAGGGTTCGATGAACACAGCAGGCCAAGCAGCATCATAGGTGCAGAAAGGCTGACGTTTCGGGCCTAGACCCTTCATCAGAAATGGGGGAGGGGAAGGGGGTTCTGAAATAAATAGGGAGAGAGTGGGAGGCGGAAAGAAGATGGATAGAGGAGAGGATAGGTGGAGAGGAAACGAACAGGTCGAAGAGGCGGAGATGGAGCCAGTAAAGGTGAGTGTAGGTGGGGAGTTAGGGAGGGGATAGGTCAGTCCAGGGAGGACGGACAGGTCAAGGGGGCGGGATGAGGTTAGTAGGTAGGAGATGGGGGTGCGGCTTGAGGTGGAGGAGGGGATAGGTGGGAGGAAGAACAGGTTAGGGAGGCGGGGACGAGCTGGACTGGTTTTGGGATGCGGTAGGGGGAGGGGAGATTTTGAAGCTTGTGCCATTTATATGTTATGCTTTTTTATTTGCTTCCGGCCAAAATGGGCAATTTTTCACTTTTCCCTATAGTATTCCATTTGCCAGAATTTTTTTCCCACTCTCTTGACCTATCTGTATCCCTTTGTCTTCTTCACAACTTAATTTGCTATCTGTCTTTGTGTTATCAACTTTTAATTTTGTATCCGTATCATGTATATAAATGGCAAAAATTTAAGGCCCCAGCGCAAGTCCCTGTGGTACACCATTCCTTATATCTTGTCAACAGGAAATGGAACCATTTATGTCTATTGTCTGTTTCCCTGCAGCAAGCCAGTCTTCTAGCCATGCCAATATGATACACCTACAACGTGAGCTCTGATGTTTCGTAATAACTTTTCAAGTGACACCTTAAGAATGCATTCCAGAATGTGAAGTACAGTATATTGATCACTTCCTCTGTATGCAAAGCATGTGTTACTGTTCAAGGAACTTTAGTAGGACATCCATTTGAGACAGAGACGTGAAGAAGCATTTTCTCACAGGGGATCACAAGTCTTTGAAACTTAATTCCTTAAAAGGCTGGGGATGCAGAGTCTTTAATTCTCTCCAAGACAGAGATAGATAGATTCTTGATTAAAAAAAAATGGGATGAAAGGCTATGAGTAGGTGGCTAAACATAATTTTCCTTTCATAAAAACAGTGATTCTGCCTGGTTATTATGAACCTACTCTAAGTACCTTGCTGTAATGCTCTCAAAAGTAGCTTCTAATATCTTTTCTATGACAGATATTAAGCTAGCTAGCCTGTAGTTTCCTCTGTCTCTACCCTTTTGAATAAAGGAGCTACATTTCCTGTTTTCCAATTTAATCTCACTTAATCAAGGAAATTTTGGAAAATTAAAACCAATGCACCAATTATTTCATTAGCCACTTTTTTTAAGACTTTAGAATGAAGTCCATTGGGATCTCGGGACTTGTCAGCCCATAGTTCCAGCTACTTGCTCAGTATAACTTCACTGGTGATTATAATTTTCTTGAGTTCCTCCTTTCCCACATAACTGGTCAAATAACGAGGGTCTGGCGACACAGGTAGGCCAAGTAAAGGTGACAAGTTTCCTAAAAGTATTAGTGCACCAGTTGGGTTTTTAATAATAATATAACGGATGTTGTTTATCTAGTGCCAACTCCATATATGACCAGGTTTAACACACTGTCACGGTTGGGTGTAAACTCATGGTCTCCGGGTTAGTGGCAGTTGAGTGTGATAACCACTAAGCTATTGTAATTGTCAAGCTGCAACCTGCAAGGTAACATTCCTAGTACAGCAGGCGTGAAAAGGGTCATAGAAAGAGAGCCTGAGAATAGTGAAAGTATGTAGCCTTCCAGTTTCCCAGGAACATCC